TTATGTGCACAATTACCATCCTGTTCTTATTCACTCACTTCCTGTTGTAGTTTACTCTTATTTTTCCCAAGCCATTTTTCCCATACTGAGGGACCCTGGTGGCCAGACTGTCCCAGGGCAGTGGCTGGCATTTATGGTTCAAGAGATGCTTCTGTTGTTGGTAGTGCTGCTGCAGTCCATGCTGTGGGAAGATGAGAGGACCAGGAGCCAGAGGGGTCCAGGGTGAGGAGCGAGGGTGGAGTTTGATTCTCTTACTCACATTTATTACATGAAACACAGTTACAAAATGAGAAACTGTTCCTGAATGGGACAGGAAGGGTAAGTCCCAGAAAAGAAGTCTTTTCTCCATCCAAGTTAATGGGAGGCCCACAGGGCCCTGGGAGGCTCCAACACAGAGCGTCCCCCTCCAGAAAAAGACGTCAGCCCCTTTCTCTTCCCTAGCCATGACCTAAACTCATGAGATGCATTTCTCAGGAATGCTGTAATCCAGTTACTCTGGAAATCTGACTTGTGAGAAGGGGACCCCACCTTGGAAATTTACTTAGGAACATTTCCCAGGAGATCTTACCTGCACTGCTTTGTCTTCTATTCAGTGCATCAAAGGATTGGATGGTGTCCACCCCCATTTGGGAGGGAAATCTTTTTTACTGAGGTCACCACGTCAAAAGCCAATCTCATCTGGAAACACCCTCACAGACACATGCACAAATAATATTTAACCTGGGCATTCCACAGCCCGGTCAAGTTGAGACATAAAATTAGCCATCATACTGGCCTCGGAGGCTAATGGTGAGCATACACACACAGAAAGACAGACAGACACACAGCTTGGCACTGGGCATTCTGAATACTGAGGTGGGCCATTTCCTGCCCTTTGCCTTGGGGAAGATGGGTCTCCTATGAATAGGCAAATGGTCCTAGTTGTCAGGTCAAATCGATCCTGGGACATGTCTTAGTAGGAGAGAAATACTAGGCATGCTCTTCTCCTGAATCCTTTGCCCGTCACTGTAAATGACTCTCTGGGCCACCTGTGTCCACCTGGGGCACCAATCCATGTACTAAGGCTTGGTGCTCCTTGTCCTCCGAAATCCAACCAGTGGCTTTCCGATAACCCTCCCTGCCTCCCAGCAGTCGAGCAGCTGTTACGTCACACCAGCAGGGTGAGCCAAACATCAGTGATGATGTGCAAGGGGTTCATAGCACCTCTGCCTCCACTGACCCTCAGAGCCCGGTGGCTGCAGCTTCAACGTCTCCCTTCTCTTGTGGCCAACTTTAATCTGGAAGCAAAGAGGGAAGGGGATGATGGGAAATGTAGTTCCAGCTTGGCAAATCCTCCACGGGTATGTTCACTGAAGCTTTCAAATAACCGTTTAAAAGTCATCCTTTAAATATAGTAAATGGAGAAATCTGTCAGGTGAGTAAACTTTCAACATAACCTTTTCCTTATTAGCTATGATTTGCCTGGCTGCTGTTTCGTTATCTCACCCTGCACATCAAATCAGCCTAAAACACAGTGGGCCAAGCAATTATTTGATTCTATTGTTTATTGTTTATTCTCATTGTTCTGTAAATTGTCCAGAGCGCAGCTGGGCAGTTTCACCCCTAGATTTGCCTCGGGCCCCTTCAGGCAGTCGCATTTGCATGGTGGCAGTGACTGGGGCTGGACATCTGACACCTCAGGGTTCCTCTACGTAGCATCTCTCCATCAGAGCCCCCATGGTTGCTTACACAGATGCCCAGAAATCCATGAGGCGGGAGTGGAACCTGCCAGGCTTTCTTAATGTCTGAGCCATATGAGTCTCAGAACATCTTGTCCTCCACATTCTATTGGTCAAAGCAGTCATGGGCCCAGCCTAGGTTCAAGAAGAGGCGATAATAATAACAAACTCCATCTTGTAAGGAGAGGAGTGCCATGTTTGTATAAAGCAGGGTCTGGATTGTTTGGTGTTGTTTTTGGTGACTTGTTGCTAGAGCTACTCGCCTGTCTGAATTTAAGCTGCCTCCTCCACTTGATGAGGGGAACATCCCTCTCTGTTAGGGATGTTGGGAAAATGAAATGGGAAGAGATATGCAAAGGTGCAGGACAAAACCTTCACCTTCCCTGTCCTTGGACCGGTGACCACAGCCTGACATTGTTCATAGGACATTCCTGAGGGTGGACAGAAGGAAAAGGAGGAGAAACAGAGGAATTTACCTCTGTCTAGTCCCTTCTCTCAGGTAGACCTGAGCCCTCCCCAGCACATATGATGTCTTGACCCTTCTGACTCCAGACATAAGGTCCCCGTGCTGTGTGATCAGGCCCCTCCACAGAGCTGCAGACATCTCCAAAGTCAACACTCAGTTCTGAATCAGCACCACAGACAGCACCATTGCCCTTTCCTAAGGAATCCCCAGGAGCCAGTTAAGTCCTGGGCATAAGGAGCGCCCCCTATGGGTGGTGATCTAAGTTAGGCTGGGGCAAAGGTGTGGTTGGTCACAGTCAGAGCACAGAACTTGGTAGCTGGCAGAGAATCTCCAGCAAAGTATGGGAGAGAGTGGTATTGAGAAGATAATATCTGAGAGTCCAGCAACTCCCAGGATACCAGCATCATCTGCAGAATTCACATCCCTTGTGATTGGCTGAGAGTCTGTACCATGTCTACTTGACCCAGAACTCCCTGAGACTCACCTTCCAGTCCAGAAGAGCAAGAGCTCCACCCACCCCATGTGTGCTTCCCCATCACAGCCCCCTATCCTATGGCACTGGATTTATCAGGTAACCTGTCTCCCTACCAGATGGTGCTCTCCTCAAAGGCAAGGGTTAGACCTGTCATATTCACCCCTCTTACTAGCAACCTGAAGGCATGGTTTACATGATTGTTGAATGAATGAATGAATGAATGAATGAAATCTCCTCCCTCCCCTCGTGGGATGAGTTGAAAATTCTTCCCTTCCAGATTAACATAAACTTCCTGTCTCCCAACCCAAGGAAACCTGGGCTGACAAAGATTGATGAAGTGCATCCCAGTGCAGAGAATAGTGCATAAGGCATGGCACCTGTGTGATTTGGGCAATTTACTTGCTTCCTCTGGATCTCACTGTCTTCTTCAGAAAATTGGAGAAATAAAGCTAGAAGCCTCCTCAGCTCTGATGGCCCGTGGGTCATACTTCCTCTTTTGCACACAGTTCATTTCTTGTACTTCCCCATGTCTCTCCTTCCAATTCTTCTGCTTTTCTGTGCAAATTGAGAACGACGGGAACAGGATCGGCATGGCCAGGCCCTTCTGACCACAGATACTGCAGCTGCCCCTGCAGGGAGAGAATGAGTGGCCAAGACAGGGGGACCCAGGAGGGGTATGGGGCTGCAGGATGAGATTCCAACTGAAAATGCAGGAAATGGTGATGGTGTGAGAGGGTCTATGCAGGCTCCAACCCTGCACCTTCCTTCTCCATGATCATGGCACTGACACTGCCCTAGGTTTTGGGTGATAGTTCTGGGAAGGGGATAATATGGGATGGACAGATTCATGAAGTTGAATAGAAGAACACAGACTGTAATTTTTCTATGTATATTTCTATGTCTTAAGATAAAGACGTGCAAAGCCATAGTGTTAAAGGCAGCATGTTCAGATGATAAAACCACAGAGAAAAGCAAGGAAACAAATGACGTTACAGTGAGGCTGGGGCTCCTTGTGGGTGTGTGGTGTGCGGATAGGGAGGGGGACCACAGGACAGGTCCTGGGTGTTCCCAAGTTTCTACTTCTTGGAGGATGTTCATTTTTTTGGTAAATCACTGAGCTGTTCTTGTGGGGGCACTTCTCTGTATGTGTCTTATGTTTCCTCACAAAATGTTTCAAGAAAACCCACATTGGTCTGACGAGGTACCACCTCACAGGATTCCCACCACTTCCTCCCGGCCCCCACCACACAGTTAAAAATAACCTTCTGTGAATTCAGGCTCATGTCTCTTCTCTCATGAAATCTTCACCATCCCTGAGGGTGGATGACCCCCAGGCTGGCGTTCCTTGCTCTGTGTCTCCCGAACACCTGCATGCTGAGAGCAGAACCGGCTCAGGCAACGACTCAGAGGTCGGCAGACCTCACCA